CAGTGTTCAACGATTTTACCGCTCTGCCACTGGTGGGCCAAAATTAAGAGATGAAATCGCTATTTTCCTATAAGGAGGAAAACAGACCGGAAGCCGAGAACTTTCGCGATAGTTTATTTTTGATGAAATTTAGCTACTTGGTTGACATATTCGAAAAATGAAATAACTTGAATCTTCAACTCCAAGGAGCAAATACACATATATTAGATACAGGTGATAAAGTTAATGCTTTTTGTAGAAAATTGGAATTGTAAAGCAGAAATGTAAAGCAAAAAAAAAAAAAAAAAAAAAAAAAAAAAAAAAAAAAACTATGTTTACAAATGTGGATGATTGTATTAAAACTTACAAGGCTGAAGAACACCGTGTAAAAGTGGTTTTTGTTTTGTAACCATTGAAAATCATTTAGCCATGCTGACAAAGAAATTTAAAAATTATTTCCTTGCTGACGACAAACTGATAGAAAGTTACGAGTGGGTTAGAGATTCATTTCAAAATACTCTCGAAGGGCTCTCAGTTGCCGAGGAAGAAACCTTCACAGACTTCACGAGAAATGGAGAAACCAAAAGACAATTTAGTAATAAATCACTCTTTGAATTTTGGGCAGGAGTGAATGATGAGTTCTCTACACTACAAACAAGGGAATTTTGCATTTTATTACCATTTTCAACATCCTACCTTTGTGAAACTGGATTTTCTCCGGTGACTTCATTGAAGACAAAATATAGATCTCAGCTAAATATAGAAAAAGAACTGAGAGTGTCTATTTCTAATATTAAATCTTCCTTCGAAAAACTTTGCTCTGCAAGACAGGCCCAAGGAAGTCACTAAGAATTATTAAAATTGTTTTTAATTTAATAAGTTTTAATTAAGTAAGTTTTGATTTAGTAATTTAAAAAAAATTAATAATTATTAAATATTATGGCAAAATATATTTTGTTTTGTATGTGTGTGTGTGTGTTTTCGTTTTAGTCAGTTAATACTTTTTTTTAAATAATATTTTCTATTGGATATACTCGCGCCCTCCTTACCTTACAGGTTGAGAATCCCTGCTTTAAATGATATTTATTTTATAGCATTTGAATAAATTATATATATTGACATGGGTCTGTTACTAGTCTTCCTAGTATTTCCATTGTTTTCGTGATTTTTTGTACTATATATTTTTGTTTCACAAGTTTTTAAATGCTTCAATATTTGTAGAAGGCATGTTTATATTAAATTCTTCGGTTAGCGGACAGTTAGTGATATAGTGTTCAGGCATTCCTGTTTGACCACAAGTGCATGCATTGGAGTGTGAAATGCCAAATCTTTCGAAATAGGTTGGAAATGGTCCGTGGCCTGAGACATAACGGACTAATTGAGAGTTTGTGATGAGCCGTTGTACATCAACATTTGTAAAATGTAGGAAAGTTCTTCTACCCAGTATCACTATTGTTACCCTCATTCTGCCATTTTATAATTGCTGTTGTTTTGAGAATATTTTTTAAGTGTGATATAGGCCACGGAATATCCATAGTAATTGAATTTCGATCTATAGCAGCCTCTTTAGCTAACTGATCTTCAGTTTTGTTTCCATTTATAACAGAATGATTTTTATGCATGTTAGGATTGTTTTAAGTGAAGCATTATTCTGTAAATCATTTTGTATTGCTGCAATAATTGGAGAGGTAGTTTTCGGATCTTTTGCATAAAGTGTAGAGAGGCTGTCAGATTGGATAATAGTATTATATATATATGATGCCCTGAATATAATTAATTGCATATCTTATTGCTGTTGCTTTAGTTTGGAATATGCTATTATTTCTATGAAGCTGTCCCTTCCATTGGTGAATTAAAGATTCGTTGGCAAATATTGCAAAAGCAGAACCAACATTGTACTTTTTTTTAGATCCGTCTGTTTTAGATCAGTCCTCTATTTTAGATCAGTCAGTGGTGACAATTGCTTAATAATGATGCAATGCTTAATAGTGCTTAATATAATTGCTTAATATTGATGCCTAATACAGCATCACAGATAAAAAATGTTCAGTGTAAAGGCATTCAAAAGCTTTGCCTGAAAAACAATTTGGCCATTATTTTTTTCCAATCCGAATTCAGGATTCAGTACATCAGTTTTAGGGTATCAGTCATTTATTTATCTAATTTGATTCCTGGTGAGATTATCAGGTGATTTCTTGTCCTTTCTATGAAAGCATCTGTAGATTAAAAACAAGGTTTAAACAAACCTTTTTATTTAAAATTTTTAAATTAACAGATCTTTGACTTATATCGTTAGAGTACTTATCTCTGAAGCATGCGAGATTGAAGTCAACCCAAACTAATCTGCCTTACCAACTCGGCTAACGAAAAAGCGTACGCCTGTCTAACGTCATTCTCAGAGCTGCACAATGATCAGTGTAGCTGCCAAGGCTCTCTCGCTAAGTTTTAAGAATTCTGATCTTGTATACACGTATCTAATTTGCATCCTAGTGAGGGTTCGCGAAAAGTAGAAACGATAAATAATAGAAAAGTAGAAACGATAAACAAATAATAACACCGAGTGTCAATTAACATAAGCGTTATTCACTTACGCCAAGCTTTGCTATTTAAAGTTAAGTAATGAAAAATATTAAAGTAATGCTTCTAGAGTTCCTGAGCATATAGCAGAAGTTATCTCAGAACATCTTTGAAAATCATACTGACGGTTTGAATGTTCGTCATCGTTTGGTATTTGTTCAGATAATTTTTTTGTGAGGAGAAGCGATCCTCAATATTTGATCTAAAATAATTATTGTCATTAATACTGTTCTCAACTTAAATGCAGTACGACGAAGTCATTTGATTCGTCCGAAACTCCAACTGCACTCAAAGGCACGCGTATCCCAAAAGATAGAAAGTCACATTTCTTTTAATGTTTTCGAATGCACGTAAAAATTTACTGGGAAGTAAAAATATTAGGGAACTAATCCCTCTTATCTACGGTCCGTTTCTGAGCTTACTGAGTTACTTCATTTCGGTAAATATGCGAAACTGTGGATACACAACGAGTTCCTCCTTCCTTTACTAAAATTCTTTTCCAAGTCAGAACTAAATTTATTTATATTTGTGCATTGTTAAATTATATAAAATACTAAAAAGTTTAATACAGTAAAAAATCGCATACAAATTTAGTTAACAATTTTTTTAATTAAAAAAAATTATATAATTTATTTAACTGTTTTTCTACTCATTACACCTTTTTAGTAATTTATGTAGTATTTTGACATTAGAATTATCTTAAGGAAAGTCTTTTAAAAACTTTTGGAGCATCGTATGGCATTACGTTACCAAAGTACTTGACGTTACGCTACCAAAGTACTTGGTAGCGTAACGTCATCCACTCCTTTGGTAAGTATTACCACTGCTACAACGGTATATTGGCCTAGAGCTAGTGACTGAAAACATATGAGTTACCAGTGGCCAATAACCCTGACGATCAGTGTTTTTATCGGTTTGACAGTCACCAGTGCCCTTCGACTCCAGTCAATAGTTCTCTTCAGTTTAGTTTAATTTTAGCAATTTATCTCAGTCTAGTGGCCTTATGGGTTGATCGCGAGTAATCGTACGTCATGGAGAACGTCGCATATGTCACCAGTGCTCAATGGCTTGTCCATGGTATCCTTCGGTTTAGATTTATTTTGAAATTCTCTCACATTTACTTCACTGCTTTGTACTGGTCACCTATGGGAAGACTTCCACTTCAGCCTGTAGATCAGTGGTGTCACTTGATGATACAGATAATTTTCATTTTCATTTTAGTTAAAAAAGTATCTAGTTAATATACTAGTAGCCACATACTTGCGATTTGGCACGATGATAATTTATTTCTTAGTCATTGTTTGAATAATGCCCATCGACCTGTAACTAACTGATGACTAAATATTTCATATAATTTTGATTTAAAATATATTATACTGACCCCTTCAGGGCAGCACGGTCCCTCATTGGTTAACTCCATTTGATCCACAAACTTCAAGTCACCATTGACCTTCATGAGAATGGATAGACACTGAAGCCAAAGAGCCATGACAAGCGCGTTGATGTCATTTGATCTAAATTTTAGCTTACTTAATTCTAAATTATAGCTACTTAAATTTATTCGCTGAGGAGAGCAACAGCCGTCAATCAGTAGACCAATACCCTTGAAATGACCCAATGTGCTCATTTAATTTAAATATAAATATACTGGACTGCTTCATATCGATTACTTGATTGACTCCAAATAACCCTTAGTCTGAGGACTTTGTTTAACATTCATAATCACTGGTGGCCAATAGTTTTGATGGGCATCGGTACGCTTTGTTTTAATTTCAATTTAAATACTGATTTAAATTTACTACAAGTCTTTGTAGTAAATGAAAATGGTAACCTAGCTACGTGGGTTCTGAGAATTGTCCCTTTCGACGTTTAGTTCTGCGAAGCCGAAACATAATGTGATTAGAACTTAATATCAGAAGGAACACTACGTCAAATTCCAAAGCTTTAAGTCACATTTCTTGCCCTTTGCCAAATAAGGCATCAATTTTCAAACAATAATACAATAATTATACTTAGTTCTTTCAGTTTAATACTTAGACATAATACAAATTGTTTATAAATGCACATACCTTTCTACTTTCGGTTTTGCGATTTGGTACGATGATAATTTACTTCTGTCATTGAACAATGTCCATCGACCTGTAACTTCCACATTCAAACTTAGGCTTAACGTACATTAAGGCAATAAGTTGTTAAATCCTTGGTAAAAATTCTTGTTAATCCAACTTCTGAAATGTTAGGTTACTATCTTTTAATTGAAAAATATTCTTCACTTATTCAAATAAATCTTTATTCGCGCATTACTTACATATCACTGAGACGGTATAACTAAAAATACAAAATTACTATGTGCATTTCATAAACATTACCGTTCAAATCGGCTTCCATCAAAATACTTTCTCTTTGCCACTCGGGGAAAATACATTTAAAATAAAAGCAATGCGTTGCATTTACAATATCTTTATTTCTTTAAAGAACAGTTTACAATGTGATTAATTGAAAACACAATTCAAGACACCTTACAAAACCATTACTTCAAATATGTTTTACGAAACACCACAAATAAGCAAAATTTATTTAATAAAGCTCAGTTTTTACCTATAAAGTTCTTCAGTAAAAAATTTAAGATATTTTTAATTGAGACCGGAATTTAAATATCATCTTCAAATTCAAAAGTGATGCCACTCTTTTCTAGTCTTTCAGAAAAAGTAGTGAATTGGAAAGCCACACCAGGAGTCAGAACACCACCACTTAAAAAAGGGAAGATTTAGATTATTGTAATACACATTCAAAAACAGAGGCTATAAATTGTACACATTAAGCATAAATGTAGTAATATTTATATTTAAACCAAGACAAAATTTTATGTTAAAATAATATAATAGAAGCTAATATTTTTCATGTAATGTTTTAAAAATCTTCAGTAAGGAGGTTGTATTCATTTCCGACGTATATCATTCATGTATTATGTGATGACTAGATTTTGGTGAATGTTTTCATGCAAAATTATTGAACAGATTCTTAATGTATATGTTCTTAAGACATTAGAAAGGGATCAGAAAAACTGTTCGATCACGTACAACGTGATCTTCGTTGACACTTTTCCAAAGCACTTAGATATGTCCAGTGAGCGGAACGAGCAAAAGCGTGCATCTGAAAAAATTTACTTTAATTAGTGAGGTGTGTAATGAAATTGTTAATGTGATCTTTCAAGTAATTATTGATAGTTATTTTTGTTTATTAAACTACGCTGATTTTACAAGAACACAAATTCATAGAAAATACTTCTCCTCGAAGATTGCAGTCATGCCGTTCAGACGGTGTAGTGGTTAGGGGAGTCTGACTGCGATGCCAAAGGGACCGGGTTCAAATCACGGAGAAGGTATGGATGTAAAATTGTCAATTCCTTCATAGGAGGTAACGATGGTCACCTATTAAGTGCCACCACAATAAAATGGCCACCACTTCTGGCCTTAGGAGTGGCCAGTACCGTTATAAACAAATGCTTGCCATTGGGGGGGGGAGATTGTAGACATTTACCGAAACTGGCAAGTGCAGCGGTCTGAGCTGCTTATCTTTATGTTTATCGTCATTGTCTTGGAAAGGTAGTTAAAATGCGTGATACTGACGGAAGAATGTGAAGAATATAATTTTCTGATGCATTAAGTCTATATAACTACAGTGAAGCGAGTAGGAAAGGCCATGTGTTAATATCAGTGAAAATTGGTCTTTTTGTAGTTTTTCTCACTCTCGCGATGAGTCGAAAGCCTTTAATGCTACAACAATACGTTCTTGTTGTTAAGTTAAAAATTAAATCATCTTAAAAAAAAAAAAAAAAAAAAAAAAAAGAGAGAGAGAGTAAAGGAAAAAGAAAAGGAAAACAGATTTCTATTGCTCATCTTTAAAACAGACACTTTTGGGTATTACTAAACATTTTGTCAACGCTTTTTAAATCAATAACCTCAAACGAAAATAATTCATCTTCAGGAAAAAAAGATAAAAAATAAAAGATAAAAGAGATAAAAAATGGACTAGAACAAAATAATAAAACCAAATGATAGAATATACAGATGAGTATTAATGAAAACTGTTATGAAAATATGCATATAATTTACAGGATGAATTGATATATAAAACAGGTAAAACCACAAAACATAAAATATACTAAAATACATAATATTAAAGTAAATTAAATTATTTTAAAGCGATATCAAATTGAATAACAAAGACCTGTCTCTCTTCGATTCTGAAGCACATTAAAATTAAAATATTTTTCAATTAAACTATCAAGAATATTACGACAACCATAAAAATGCTTCATAGAAAGTTTGTTAAATATAGGAATTTTACTAATATATATAAGTTTTCGGCTGCTCTGCTCCGCGTGACAAACACATGTCCGGACTACAGATCCAACTCTCCCTCAGGACCAGGCTCAGGTTCAACCTCCGCTGTGGCCCCTCAGAGGGGCTGGCGCACCACCTGGAATTCACCAGGCAGCACTGGTCGTTAATTTGCTACATGCCAGTCGCATGGGCGAGCCTGTCGCAGAGGGCCGTTACCCATCAAACCGAGCTATGGATCCACACCTCTCAGAACATGCCAGACCCCGAGGCCGGTCAATAAGTGACCTTTCCCAGGGCCTTCAGAACCATCAAGTTCATCAATTTTATACCCCCTGGCCGAGACTGTCTAGGTACAGATCCTAGCCAGTAGCTTCGAAGAGTTCTCTACGTCGACCCCCAGGGGATTACTAATATATCGGCAACACAGGTTGAGCGAACAGATTCATTGACAGCTTAAACGAGTTAAAAGGAACTTTCTTCCTTCGATTTTTAGTTGCTACTAGTATTCCACTCCAAATTTTATGCTTATTCTGCTTGTTATAAAGCTAAACATAATAGAGTCGTTGACATTTATTCAGAATTTTCTGCTTGAAATTTTTTGCTTTTCTGATTTCAGAATTTTCTGCTTTTCTGATTTCAAGTTCAACAGCAGCTTTGGTGTGATATCCCCTAGATCATTACCTTTTATTCATACATGTTTGATTACCACAGATTCCTTAGATTTAAATTTAGCTTTACGACTACCGCACCCTGGGTATAGGAAAGTTTCCAATAAATTTTAGCGCACCAGATGTGTCGGTATCAATTATAAGCTTTTCCAACATAGCTTACTGGTGACAAATGACATTGAGTAACACAAAGCAGTAATTTTTTGATTAATTACTTAGCAAACGTCATAAAATCATTTACCCTCCATATGGTTACCAATCACGAATGATATTCCAACATAACCAGTTCCTTTTCACTCATCTGTATATATGAGGATGTAGCTGCTGTATTTATGCCTGAGCTCATGAAACTATTGTTTGTATACGATCTTATTAATATTTCTTTCATTTATTATCAAGCAGCTGGTAAAAGTAAAACATCAAGAAGTTGGATTTTCCCTTAATCCAGAAGAGGGATTTCAAAATGTTTTACGGCTTGGACATCCAGTATTCTTCAATCAGTGTGCAAACCTTTAATCAAAAAGAAGATACATAAGATGGTCATGTTTCAAACAAAAGGCCACATATATCATGAAACAAAGACAGCTTAGTAACATGGTCAGATTTTGATAATAAGTTGAAATAATGATGAAACGAAAACTGCCTTCTCTTTAATTTGAGTGATGGCTCGTAAACAGACTCTGGTCTAGAAATCTACAAACTCTGAATTGGGAATGTTCTGAAGGCTTCATAGCAAATTCACAAGACCTGATTATGAACGGGACCTAGCTTCAATAAGATTGAATACCTTGCAGGTCCATAAACGACCAGACTGTAATACAGTCCAGAGATAACTGGCCTGTAAATACGAAGCAATGCAACGCTTTGTGCTTCAGGATGTGTTCATAAACACTTTTCTAGCACTTTGGAAAATTTCTTCCTCAAGTATAAGACCTGTGAAAAGAAAGCTTAGTTTTAGGTAGATTTCATTTTTTGAAAAGTTACAGATACTTAGTCTTTTATTTAGAAAACTGAAATCATGTTGGGAGATGATAACACAAACAATGCTAATATGGTTGTTTGAACATTTCTGAATACTGTTAAGAGAGATTTGCAAGCTCTCAGCTTGACAACGTATTTGGAGATCAACAATATACGGTAAACAGAAATTACTTCTTAAATTGAATAGAATAATGCTTAAGATAAGCCTTCAGACGCATCGCCTTCTTATTCGAAGACATCTCCCAGTGAAATCTTTATTTAAAAAGTTATTGCATTTAAAAATAATCTGAAAATTTGCAAGTTGCCGCGCAAGCAGCTAACATGAAGATCGTGGAAAACGTCGTCTTATGTTAAGCCTTTCTTACATAGAAAAAGACAGAAACAAACGTGATAAATCTTTTTACAGAGACTTTACGGATGAAGATTTTTAAAAAGAACATATTATGAGTGTTCTTTCATCTTTATGGAAACCACTCTGATAAGGCACTTCCCACACAAATAATAGGGAAGCGGAGTTTTACTACTTTTTTCAAATAGTTTGGTCTTTTCTGGCTTAGCTGTAGCAGTGACGACAGCATTAATTTCCGCACTAGAAAAAAATAAACTTTTTTTTGCACTCGACTGTAAAGCGTGAAAATGGCCGTCGGTGACTTAATAGAAGGATGCTTCTTGTTTAATAACTGATATCCATCGGACAAAATATAATCTTGATAGTTGCAGACATTGTTGCTTGGCAGAAAGAGAGAACTTCTATTCAAAATAGACATAAATGCATGACATTAGCACAGTTGCCCACGTCAAGTTTTAAATTTAATTGTGCTTTGTCTATCCTACCCATCTAATGTTGTAGCTTTGCTTCGAGTTGCTGGAGAAGTAACCCAACTAATATACTGTGTAATTACAGGAAGCTGCTGCATCACCAAAGGTTAAAAGTTTATTTTATATTACTTTAAATCTTACTAGCTGTGAGGAATAACATTTTATGCTAACTTTTATATTGTATCTTGCGCTCCCAATCCGAATCAAAGAAAGCAAGAATAACTCGCCAACACGTAGAAATAACTAAGGGTGCGCAGTTCGTTACAAGTAATCAGGCATCCTTTGTTGTAATTGTTTATATCTCATTTTCAGACTTCCAGGAAGAATGCTACGTTCTCCCCATTGCAAAATGCACAAGGTGCCTCGGCGCTGCAGTTATCTAAGTCGGGGGTCTTTCATAAAGCATGTGTACGTATATGCAAGTTTGCACGACAGGACGTCTTCGAAGGGCGAAAGCATTCCGCTGAAAGCATCGAAAGGGCCCAGAGTAAGTTTACAGCACTTTTTGATAGATCAGGCGGAGAGAATGTTAGGAGCACATGTTTCGTATCGATCAGCTGTCCTTCTTCGCGCATCTTGATCCACCTAGCAACATAGATATTCTGATAAAACAACTCAGAGACACCCTTCTCTTCAAAAAGAAGAGTTGGTCGATCTCCGAGATAAAGTATTTGGTATTTTATGTTAATAAATCAATTTTTAATCTATACTGTAACTTCTCTTTTTCGTGGCTGTTACTAGGATGCAAATGATTTAAGTCCATTTAAGGCGAGGGTTTTGAATATGTTAGATACAGTGCTTTTGGAAACGACGCTCGTAGCTTTGTTGTCTATCATTCAGGCTTTATTTCCTATCATTCATCATATGGCAGTTAATATACCGGCAACAGCTATTCTACTAACTGAAGTTAAATCGTCTAGTTTACTAGGTTTACTA